CCCCCCCCCGCCCCCCCCCCCCCCTACACCCCCCCCCCACACACACACACACACACACACACACACACACACACACGACGGTGGGGCGGCCAGCCTGAGATCCGCACGTCGAAGAGCTCTTGCCTTCTCCTTTACCGGGAGGGTGGGTACCGGTACCGGGCAGAGAGCTGGAGAGGGTCACAGAGAACGTTTCCTAGGGGCGCGGGGCCTTTCCTTACTGGGACAGAATCGTGGGGTGTCAGGCCCGGGCAAAGGCCTCCTGGGGCCCCACCGCCCCGGCCCTCTGCTCGTCCGTGCATCTTCAGCTCGGGTGACTGCTCTGCGGCCTATTATTTCCACATGTTCCTTCAGGAAATCATTGAAGGCAAACGTATGAACAGACCCTTGTTCGGAACGCTGGCAGGATACCGTAATACTTGTAGATAATGAACGGGGACTAACGCGCGCGCGCACCCCGCCAACCGAGCGCGGAATTAAAGGGGAGAGCGGGTGCTGGCTCTGCTGCAGGTCGTAAAGGACCCGTGGAGATCTGGGGTTTCTTGCCAGGTACGGGGTGGGGGCAAAGAGGCTCCCCCAAGGGCCTGGAGTATTACCCGCCCGCTCACGCCAGGGGCTCCCCTTTGCTCCTTTCCCACAAACGGTAACTTCGCCGTTCATTGCAGAGGTTTTTAAAGGAGCCCCAAAAGCAGGCCGGGAGGGGGTTCGGGTGGTCATTCCTTGGAGTCGCAGGCGGGGAGAAACGGGCGAGTGAATGCGCACCCAGTTGCCCTTCTGGTAGTAATTACCTGCCTAATTTGAATGATGCCTTTGTTATGATCATTAACAAACATTTGCTAAAGGTTTCCATGTGTGACATCCTCCAAGGTTGAAAGGCCTGGGGGGCTGGCTCCGGGGTAGCGCCCCGGTGGGGGGTGGCGCAGGGAAGCAAATGGCTGGGAGAAGATTTCGCAGTCTGGGCCGAGGAAAGATGCCGAGCGGTCACCATCTGCCTCCTCGAAAAGGAAAACAAGCCCACTGGCCGGCAGCGACCTCGGGGCAGGAGGCCCCGGAACCGAGGCGGCGGGCTCCTTAAACCGAGTCCTGCCGCGCAGCCCCCGCCCCTCCCACTGCTCATAGGCAGGTTTGAATCGCGTTTTCGCCCTCCGCCGCTAGCCCGAGGCTTGGGGAGAGGTCGGGGTTGCGCGGGTCAGATAGCCCCGGGCGTCGGGAGGAGGCGGGGGCGCAGGCCCGGGCTGCGGCCCTCCGGGTTGGCGTACGCGCCCGTGCTGCGCCCCTCCGGGTTGGCTTAAGATGCCTCCAGATTGCCCCCTTTGCGCCCGGGGTCCTGGGTGGTCCCGGAGTCCCAGAGCGTCAGGAGGCGCCCCTGGCCCAAGCGCACTGCCGGGTCTTTCCTCTCCTTCCTGCGCTTCAGGCCGGGGCACCGAGGGGGAGACCAGGCTGCCTGTTCCCCGACCGAGGGACCTCCGCCGGCTCCCGCAGCTGTGCCAGGGTCCCAGTGCCCGCCCGGAGTGTGAGTCTCAACCTCCTCGGTTTTGCCTTGAAGGATCAAGAGTTCAGAGTGAGGGTTTTTTCCCCAAAACTGGGAGACCGGGCAGCTGAGACCAGAAGGGACTAGACCCGACTCCTGAATTGGGGCGAGCGGGGAAGTTTGGGGGAGGTGCACCGCGGTTCAGGCCCGCAGGCGACGTGAAATTGGGTGCAGGGTTTGGAGATGTAGCCTTCAACCGGAGGGCCGCGGACTCTGTGCACAAACACATCGAAATGGTGGAGGAAAACAAAAACAAAGTCTCGCCCTGCCCAGCTTTGCCCCCTGGGCTCTCCCGCTCTCTCCTCTCTCTCCCCCCCTCCCTTCCCTACTCCTGGAGCAGAGGCTGCGGCTCCCAGCGCCACACCTTCGGCTCCGGTGGGCGTTCCCGCTGAGTTGGCTTTTTGTGTCTGCGAGTCCCCTCCCCTGCTCCCCAGCTCCACCCCACAATTCTGCTTTCCCCGGAGAGTTCAGAGGAACCTTCAGCTTTAGGAGATTTAAGAATGTACTGGTTACCAAAGCCGTTCGTGGTGAAAGTCACATTTAAACAAACTTGTAATTTTTTTTTTCTCCAAATGAAGTTAATGGGCGGGGCGGAGGTGGGGGTGGCTTCCAGATTCTGGATTTGAAAG